CTTTCCCCCCGGGCGAGCCGGGCGGCGAACAGGCAGAGCGGCTCTTCGGGTGGGAACGGCGCCCAGCCGGCACCGGCGCAGCAACCCACGGTGAGCCCCCCGCGTCCCCTCCAGCACCCACCCCGCCGTCGCCCACCCGGCGATCCGGCGCGACGCCCCAACCTTTTCCCGCCGTCCCCATTGCAGATCAACCTGGCGACGTCGCCGGCGGCCGCGCAGCTCCTGAACCGGGCGCAGAGCGTCACCCCCGGGGCCTCGGGCATCGCGCAGCAGGCCGTGCTGCTGGGCAACGCCGCCTCGCCCGCCCTCACCGCCAGCCAGGCCCAGATGTACCTGCGGGCGCAGATGGTAGGGGTGCCGTGGGGTGCTCGTCGTCCTGCTGTGGGGTGGTCGGGATCCATAGGGTGCCCATCGCCCCACTGTGGGGTGGCCAGGACCCTATAGGGTCCCTGACCCTGTAGGGTGCCGATTGTCCCGCTGTGGGGTGGGCAGGATCTATAGGGTGCCCGTAATCCCACAGCAGGGTGGCCAGGACCCGTGGGGTGCCCGTCATCCTGCCGTGGGTGGCCGGGACTCGTGGGGTGCCTGCTATCCCGCTGTGGGGTGCCCGGGACCCATCGGGTGCCCATCGTCCTGCTGTGGATTAGCTGGGACCCGTGAGGTGCCCATCATCCCGCTGTGGGGTGCCCAGGACCCATAGGGTGCCCATGGTCCTGCTGCAGGGCGGCAGGGACCCTATAGGGTCCCTGACCCTGTAGGGTGCCCGTTGTCCTGCTGTGGGGTGCCCAGACCCATAGGGTGCCCATTGTCTCGCCACAGGGTGGCTGGGACTCGTAAGGTACCACCTGTCATCGCACTGTGGGGTGGCTGGGACCCATAGGGTGCCCATTGTCCTGCTGTGGGGTGGCCGGGACCCTATAGGGTCCCTGACCCTGTAGGGTGCCCATTGTCCCGCTGTGGGGTGGGCAGGACCCATAGGGCACCCATCACCCTGCTGTGGGGTGCCCGGACCCTATAGGGTGGCTCCCACTATGCTCAGGGTGCCCAGAGCCCATAGGGTGCCCATCCCTTGCCCCCCCTCCTGGCACCGGTGCTCTCCGGGGCCACGGGCGGGGGACAGACGCGTCACCCCGCCCGCAATCCCACGCCCCACGCGTGTGCCACCCCAGAGGGACATGGAAAGGGGGGGGACACGCACGGGGTGCCGCCGCCCCCCACGGCGGGGGCCACGCACCCACTCTCCGTGCCCCCTCCCCAGCTCATCTTCACCCC